ACTCAGGACTCACTTTTAATCCGCGCTGTGATTTAGCAGATGATGTTTTTCCGCTTTTCAAATATGCGGGAAAAAAACTTCGATACAGTACCTCTTGAAACACTAAACACCTCGGCTACCTTGTTTACGGAAGCACCTACTATACGTGCTCCAACAATTTGCCCACGTTCGAAGTCTGTTAACTCTGACATAATGCAATGACAACCTTACATAACAGTACTCCGACAACAACTGAACTGTTTAGCACATTTACGAAGTTGTATAGGTGGCGTCAGTAGTCAAAAACACCAGCGCCACCTACATATTTCATTAAAATCAATCTTTCTTTTCAAACATGCATTTCACAAGGTGTTTCCATATTTTTGTCCATCCACTGTATTTCTGAATTCATTTTGTGATACTGTATATGCTCGTGTAATGTCCGCACCCGAACTTTACACATAAAATTTATGTAAAAAAAAAAGTGACCCACACAATGTCCGCACCCCTCAAAACAAAAGAATTTCTTACTTTAAAATAATTTTTTAACATTGCCTTTTTCCCTTTAGTCAATAAAATCTTTAAAGAAAGAATATGCATTTGTTTTGTCTTTGGTTAGCACCAAGATGGAAAGCAGACTTTCCTTGCACTCTGTTGCAGCTGTTTTTGTAATGAAATTACTTTCCCCTCTTTGGCATTCGTATACTTCAAGCTTTCTCTTTTCATTCATAGTATCATTTGGAATTTGTGGTAGTTAGCAAGTAGCGTGCTTGAAATGAGAAAACACAGCAGCTTTTATACTGAAAGTCATAGAATTTGTGCAGGAAAATGGGTCGATTGGTTTGGTGGGTGTTTTGAAATGGCTTATGTTGCAATGCAAGACATGGTGGCAACATTTCAGTCACATATTTTGGATTGTGTACAAGGTAAATTTACTATTAAAAGGTATGGGCAAAATTTTATTCACGAATGTATGCTGAATTTTGTATGCTCTGTGTCTCAGAAGATAAGGGGGAAGGATAAAGTGGTGAAAACTGATGAGTTTTGCTAATATTTAAAACTGGTATTTCTGCTGCTTGGAAGAAGCATTTACAATGATAAGTGTATTTTATTTTATTGTTGTTCTTATTTTGTAGAATGTTATGTTCATAGTTTTTTTTTGCTACGAATTTCTGTCGTTATTGCTGTTTTTTTAATTGTTTGTAATTTATTTTAGTTTATTTTGTTAATTTGTGCACAATGCCGAGGCTGTGCGAGATGCCTAGATTGTGCAATTCGGTGATTTTTTTTTTTTTAAGTTAAAACAGAATGCTGTGTAAATGGTATTATTTGAAATTTATTGTTGTTATGTTAGTTTATTTTAGTGAGGTGTGCGTAATTCCAAGATTCCTATGCTGCATAGATTTGCAATTCTCTGACTTTTTTTTTAAAGTTAAAACAGATCGCTGTGTACATAGATTCTTATCAAATATTTTTTGGTTAGAAACTTTATATTTTTGCTACCTAATTTTTTTTTTTTTTTTCGGATTTTTGGCGTATTGTGTGTTAAAAACGTGGTTTTTGCACGTGCGAAAACCGCATTTTTGCAGACATTTTAGGTTTAAAGTTCAAAATGTAAACAAATAACTTAGGCAGTAATATGGCACCGTGGAGTTTCTGCCCAAAAAAGTTTGGCGAGAAATTTGTTGCCAACCGAGGGCATATACAGTCAAAAGTCTTAAATCCGGACTCATCGGGACTTCGACGATTCCAGATTATCAATTTTTCCGGATTATAGATCATCAGTTTAAATCTGGTAAGATAGCATGCATAAATTATAAAATTAAAAATATGAAACCATAATTTATGAAATAAAGAGCAATTATGATCTAAAGGGTATCAAAATTTACAAAAAAAAAAAAAGCTTAATATTTATTTGCTTACTTTATTAAACATTTTTTTCAACATGTGCATGCATAAAGCATACATTACGCATAGTCAAAATTAGAAAATTGACACCAGAAAACTATTGGATTTGTACTCGTGATATTTATAATGACGAGAAATTTGATTTAAATCATATCAAAGACGGAGTACATCGAGATGAAATACTACATTTAGTAAGGAATTATAAGCCGAATAAAATAAAAACATCTGCCTTTAAAGATAAGGACAGTGGTGACAGATCAACTTCCAGTTCATTGCGTGCCGCGATGTCCCCACCCCCGCGCAGAGCAGCGTGAAATTGATAAACAGATTTCAGAATGGTTAGAGAAACAAAGGAGCCTTTATCCATTTTTTGCAGCAATTCCACTTTTTGTTTGATGGACATCGAAACATGCTTTCCCTTTGTTGATCCTTTGGCAGCTCCAGCATCGGAAATTCTATTTGATATAATAGAAAGTTCCAACTTACTTTTATAAAATTGCTCTAAGAGTCTGCAAAAAATAATAAGCCGGATCCAATTCGAAGATTAAGGAACAACGCAATCTGCAACATTAACTGAAATAGATAATTAGACAATTTTAGCTTAGCTTATACCGTTATACATTAAACGCGCATGTGTAAACGTATTATGCGCATGCGTAAAGGTATCATGTGCATGCATATTGCGCAGAAAGTTTATAGCTTTGAGGTCCAGATTTTAGATCATTCCGGATTATGGGTGTCCAGATTAACGACTTTTGACTGTATAAGAGTGGTTCCTTAACTACTATGTCATTCCATTTCATATTTATTTGAGACTTAAAATTCAGTTTGGAGCCAAGTGTCTCTCTCAATTTAGATAGTGTGACTAGTTTGGCTGACAGCTGAAAATGAATCAAATGCTCATTGACTAAGAACTTCAACTTATTAGACAAACTGATGATGCACTAATTTGGATCAACTGGATAACCACTGTCATAAAAATTACCAAAGAAACTTTAGCTGATAAATTCTTATTTATACTTGAATGTCCTTTTTATTTAGCAACCTTTAGTGGAATTTAATTGAAAAAGAAATCATTCGAAAGTTTCATTATGATATATTAGATTCTCCTACAGAAAAACTTATCCAATAGAAAAACAAGAGAATACGAAATTTAACAATAAAACTTGAAAACTAGCCCACATAATCTCAAAAGCCAAGACTCTTTCTAATTCTTATCAAGTTTAATCTTAACTAGTCATGATAAGTAAGGTCCATCTTAAGATATATTTATGAAAAAAAAGTTATCAGAAAATGAAGATTTTTTATCTTTTATAAGAACAAGATGACCTTACTGTAAACACTATAAATATCATTCTGCATAAGCTCTTAGTAACTAAAAGGTTTATATAGCCTTCTAGTTCTATTGCTCCAACCTGTAATGTGAAATCTGATTTAAAAAAGAACCTGTTTTTAATCAATAGATTTTATTCTGAACTGCATGAAACTTTATATGTGTACTGTATTGTAAAATACTTGCATGTAAATTTTTCTAAGAATTTAATATGATTTCAGGGCTTAAATTCAACCAGGGCCCACCAGAGTTAAGCTCTAATACTTTTCGGCCACAATAAAATCATAATTTTTATCCCAACTGTTAAAATAAGTCGCACCCTTCTGTTATCATGACAAGATTCAGGAATGCATGGATGTATGTGTTCATGTATAGATGTATATGGGTATGTCTGTGTATACACACACTCATATGCACAAACATACACTTGTGCATATCTACCTACATTTTTTAATTCAGTCTGTATAACAGAAGAGTACCAAGTAAGCTCCAATTGAGTTAATCTTCCGGTTTAATCCTAGTATCTGGTGCACAAGGGATTTGGCTACTTTATGACGAGCAGTAAATGAGACATGTACGATGAGTAGTAGTTAAACAGGTCATTTTGGTGTTGGCGATAATTTTCAAAATCGCACCAAGACTGCACCGTATACTAGGATTTTACCAATCTTCCCTCTTTAAATTTATTAGTCATTAATTCAACTTATGAATATAAACTTATTTACATTTTGTTATTCAATATTTATTTATCCTAATGACTTTCCATAAGGTTCTGGCACCTCTAATTTTTTTGAATTAAGCTCTGGATTATTCTATGCCATAGCATTATGGGTGACATAAAAATGGGTGCTGGGATAACTTTAATAGATGTATGATTGCTAGGGTAGTCATTTAGTATCATCCACCATATTTAGGCCACTCATTATAGACCTTATATAAGTTAAGGATGATGTATAATGTCTTGAGTTCTAAAGATTTTGAAAAAAGTCTATAATTATTATTCATACCTGCTGTTGTAGTGTTGTATATTTGATTATAACTCAAATCAGTTAAGCAACCACGGTCCAGATCTAATTATGTTGCAGTCAGTCATTAATTTATTGTAACAATTTGTTAGGTTGTATTTAAGATATTTTGCTCTGTAGTTTGACAAAATAATATGATTCTTGTTGTAGATTTCAAAAATCTAAAATACATCTCTGTCTAATAAACACTTGCAAGAGAAAGCAGCTCTTTTATACTATTTGCTGTACAATGTGGTCTATTTATGCAATTTAGACAACTTATGCTATTCGTTCTTTATGCAAAAAACACTGTGTTAAAGAATACCAAATATTTAATTTCCTTTTAAAAAATATAAAAATAAACAGTTAGTGCATTATACGTAGTAATATGTATTATACAAAAACTGTTCTTAGACTTTTGAATCGAAAAATCATGTTACATGCATTTATCATCCATAATTTTAATTGCCGGATAGCGTCTTTTGTAAAACAATCATGTCCCCCCTCTGGATTTTTGCAATGTTCTAGGCTATTTCATACACTATTACTCTGAACAATTGATAATAAATCTACCAATCTGCCAACATACAGGCTCGTGAATATACAACATATTCACGAGGTGGGAAGTGCTTATACGTAATGAAGGCATGGCTAATCGATCAATTTACAAAAGTAACACATCTAGTCATGCACATTTAACAATGTAATCTAATGCACATTTAACAAGTAACAAAATGTGATCTAATGCACTTTTAACAAGATATGACGTATCCTACCGTGTAATCGAATGACATTTAACAATCTAAAGCACATTTAAAAAGTAACACAATGTGATCTAATGCACATTTAACAAGTAACATATGACGTATCAGCAGAAGTGGCTCCTACCTAGTAAAAAGATACCACTAGAATAACACTACATATATATTTAACTTTTCAGGTAAGAAATGCACAATAAAAATTCATAGACACCGCGTCCACTAATGACAGAAAATCTATTAAAGTCGAAGTCGAGGTATTTTGTAAGTCTCATTCCATTGATTTCACACACACAGATCGTATTTTATTCTCGAGTGTCAAGATGTAGAAACGGAATATTATTGTCTATCTACGATACGCTGATAATCGCGATACTTCTACGCATGGGAGAACAGTAGCCTCTCAGGGTTAAAGAGAAAGGGCTATTGGGCTAGTCTTTTGAGTGACCTCTTGCCCACGCGAACCTCGTAGATACGGTATAAAGGTATCTCTAGTAGATCTACTCGTAAGGTAATAACTGGAAGTAGTCTGACATCACCATGTTGCATCAGATCGCGAAAGCTTTTGAAAGGGTATGGCATCACGGCCTCATTTACAAATTAATCACTCTCAATTTTCCAGATCATTAGCCTCTTTTCTCAGCAACAGAACATTCAGAATCAAAATTGGTACTGCTTACTAAACCACAAGAGTAATCAAAACTGGTGTCCCACAGGGGTCGGCACTTTCGCCTTATCTTTTTAATATATATACGCAAGACATCTCTAAAGACCCTTCTATTTTCGTCAAGAACTCCCTTCAATCTTGTCATATAAGTGAAGTCCGTGATAACGGCGTACATATTTCACAAGTGCACATCTGCGTAGCCACCGAGGGAGTGGCTTCTAGGATGAATCATTGGGCATCCAGTAATATTTCTGTCATGTTACATGATCTTTCGCATGCTTTAAGATTTAAACAAGATGGTTGAAAATATTCTGCCAAACAATTTTCTTTACAAAATAATTAAAGCATCGTCGATTTCTTCTGAAAGTTTTCGTTGCGAAGTTAGATCAAATATAAACAATTGAGAAGATTTTGCTACCTGGCTAAAAGAATTTGAAATAAATACAAAGATGTTGGATACTCCGCAAAATTATCAATCTGAAATATTACTTAATAAGTGGTAAATAAGATGAAGAAAGAAATATGTGATAAACATCTGAGCCCAAATGCTATCTTTACATAAAACTATACATATGAGAAAAACATTTACACCAATTTATATATGTAAATAGAAGTCAGCACTTTTTATTGCTATATTTTATTGTCTATATGAAAAGATGTTCTATAGTAATAGCCAATGCAGAATCTTATTCAAAGTGAACTTTACTAATTTTTCATTTGTGTATGTTTAGTGTGTTAAATTTCACGTTTAATAACTGCTAACCATTAAATGTACTGTCTGCACAAGAAATACTCATCAAACAGAATAAATTAATTTTATTCACAACGAATGTATTCAATTTATTCACATATAACTTTTAATGTTAACAATGGATATACTCAGATCATACGCAATATGTATTCTGAATCTTACACTTTAAAAATAAAAAGTATGCAAGCATTGAAATAAGAAAACACTAGATTCATTGTGATACTTCCAGCCTTTCTCAGCTCAATTAAAATAAAATTATACACTTGAAGTGTCTTAATCCGCAGGTGTTAGTAAATCCATAATATTCGAGGCTAATTGTAGCTTGAGTCATTTTCTCGAGAGCGAAAATATGCCTTGAACATCAGTCTAAATATTAATGCGTGATACAAATCGCGAAAGTGATATCAGCGATTAATTAAACTCATAAAACAAAAGCACTACGAGATTTTGTACTATTACGCCATAAACTTATAACTACGAAACAAATACAAATTAAAACATAAACAACATACGCTTACATGCATGAAGAATTAGCGTCACGAGAGCAATAGAAGCTCATTGGTCCATTTTCGAAACCCCTCCCTCAGTGGCTACACTGATGTGCACTTGTGAAATATGCTAACGGCGTTGAGGCTATTATTGTTTCCCTTCTGCTTCCTCTCGAAGGGTTCGTGTATTTTACCGCGATGTATAATCCTCCACAGCATCGACTAGACTCTGAGAAATTAGCCGATTTGCTACCTAATGATAAGCAAATCCTCCTTGCAGGGGATTTAAACGCGAAGAACATAGAATGGGGCTGCAGGCGCACAAACAATAATGGTAAGAACTTACCGCATTTCATTAATAACCATCCAGTTTATTTTTACGCGCCCACAGAGTTTACGTACTTGCCGGATAACCCACGTAAAGGTGACATTTTAGATGTATATCTTACCACTACCTCGATTCCCATGTATTTGGAGGTAAAGACGGAACTAAATTCTGACCATGTGCCAGTTCTTGCGACTCTAGGTACTAACAAATGCAACGACGCTAAATTTAGAAAGATCACTGATAAACCATTGGGCAACTCCTTGTTAGAAAATTAGGAAATTATTAGGAAACTACGGTCTACACAGGACATTGATAATACTATAGACGCCTTCCATAATAGTATTCTTAGCGCCAATAATAAGGCCACTCACAAAGTCCCCATAGATAGTAACACAAATAGACTGCCACTCACTATCAGAGATAGGGGGCCCTAGTCTGGACACCGTCGAGATAGAAGAACGGGTCGCTTTTTGCGATCTACTCGACAGGGAGCGAATCTGGTGTTATCGTCTCGATCATTACAGAGATCGATGCGTCGGAAATTTTTCCGTCAGCTGGACAGCTGCCGTTTAAGTTTCTGACTGTCGTTTTAGAGCTAAACTGAGGACGGCGGAGGTCACGGATTGTTTTTGAAAGTGTACGTAATAGATATTTTAATTTTCTTAAGATTTGTGAAAAACTCGAGTATTTCGTTATAGAAATAACGCATTTGATGCTGACGATTCTACATTATTTATTCCACATTACCAATGCCTTAATTAAATTTTAGTGAAAATAATATATTTGGTGTTTTCCTATTTCACATATAAAGAAGGGGTGCATACTTTTAATTTAAAATTGTAATTGTAATTTTTAACTAATGTATATGTCAATGTACTTAATTTCATGTTGTGATGAGTAATTTATAAATTTTGAAATTTTATGTTTTAAATTATAATGTATTTCCCTCTACTTTTATTTGATTTTGTAGTGTATAAAAATGTAATACATCAGACATGCAGTATATAATTCAAACTATGCACATCCTAAATTCAACACTTACATTAAATTGCTTTGAGTTAAAAATTTATTTAAGTAGTTTTAACTGTACCGATATCAATGTCAATTTCCAATAGTTTTTAGAATCTCCTGTATAAAACAAGTTAAATTCCTGTATAATTTTCGGTTAAATTCTTGTCAATATTATAATGCAAAGATTTATAATTAGTTATCAGATTTTTTAATGTGGTCTACTTTTAGATATTACATCAGTTTTGTGTATATTTATTCAGATAAAAAAGTGCTTAGTTTGGTTTTATGTAATTACGGCAAAGCTTCGAGGGCTATCTGCCTAAAGTGAGGGTTGCCTTCGTGGAGGACATTTTAAGGAAAACTAACTCGTATACACGTATCACATGGGGAAAACCATGAAAACGTCCATGCAACCAGCCCGTTCGCGGGATTCCAACCTTGGACCGAACTTCTAGTGTTCAGAGATTTTACCGGCTGCTGGTGAGATCGATTTAAAGAGAGTATAAATATATATGTACTGCAATTTCTTTCACTGCATCTGTTAATATATTTATACAGTTATATATATATATATATATTTAAAACAGATTTTCCGTGCCGTAAACTTCTATGCTTCTGGAAGTTACCAATGATATATTGGTAATGACGCCCATGCGTCCAGCCCGTTCGCGGGATTCGAACCTCGGACCGCACTACCAGTGTTCGGAGATTTTACCGCTCGGCCACTAGTGGGATCGACTTAAAAAGGGCATAAATAGGAATATGTATTGCAATTTCCTTTCATTGCATATATTAATATATTTATATACACATATAGTTATTTATTTAAAAGAGGTTTTGTATGCCTTAATTTTTTATGCTTTTGGAAATTACGAGAAATATGTTGGTAATGACAGATATATTGGTTATCAGAGATATGTTGGTAATGCAACAAACCCGTTCGCAGTATTTGGACCTCGGACCGAACTACCAGTGTTCAGCGATTTTACCACACGGTCACTGAGATCGATTTAAAAAGGGTATAAATAGGAATATGTATTGCAGTTTCCTTTCACTGCATATGTTAAAATATATATATATATACATATATTTTAGCAAAAAGCAGCAATGGCGCAAAAATTAATTAAATTTGTATTTATTCACTTTATTCTTTAGAAACAATTATATATATGTGTGAGTGCAAGATAATATGTTTTATGATTTAACATATAGTTATTTAATTTTTTAAAATTTTTCTTCATATTACTTTTGTTAAAAGTTTGTTATATTTTTACTCACTGCTTATTGGTATCTACGATACATAGTATATTTGTAGCTACGTGATAGATTGGTTGCTAAAAATTAAATTTTTTTAAATTCAAATTCATTAGGAATATTAAACACATGTACGAGGTGCTATATTTCAATGATTTGACTTATGACGTTGTTGCATAACCTTTTCAGACAAAATAATGTATTTTAATCATAAAATTCCTGTTAACAAATAGTTTACAAACATGTAACCTTTTAGAAAATTTCCATTTTGGAAAAGATCATACGTAAAATTATGTTTACGTTTCCTCACATACCTGAAGTTTTGAAAAGGCCATTTCTTTCTGCGTTTAAAATATCCATTAACGTTCCCCATTTCTTTTTTCCATACTCTTTACTAAATCCAGCAGCGTATTTTTTCGGAAAATTTAACCATTTACTCGGACTCGATTTGTTTTTTTCTACCGCCATCCTCAGTAATAAGCACGTGCGAAACAGCCCCTTCGACAACAAACCACCCCCTTTCCCTGAACCTGGAGCAATGTAGAGGTGAGATAGACTGGTTGCTATGCAATAAACGTCACTTCCGCACGGAATTTCCACTTCAATTTCCACCATCGGAATTTGAAGGGGCCAGGCTGGCTCTCCCTTCTGCTGTCGAGTGGAAAGAGAATCCCGACTGGTTTTCCGATATCGATCTCAACCGGTGTCCAGACTAGACTCCATGATCAAGCAAAGAGGTTACGCAAACACTAGAACGTCTCATGGGACCCCAGAATTTAAAAAGAAATGAACAAACTTAACAGAAAAATTAAAGAGAGTATTAAAAATCATAGAGAGGAATATTGGAATAATGACAAAGGTCTTTCGTCAGAAATCTCAGAAGGAAGCCGCATTGTAATAAAATCGCACTTATGAATAAAGACAAAGCCGCGGTTATGGCGGAGCATTTAGAAAAACAATTCATGCCTAATCTTGACCCCTGTGATCATCTGTTCGCTTATGACACAAGGAACTTTATTAAAGATTGGATCAGCTGCCCTAGCGCCAAGAACAAGGCGGATTTCACCTCACCAAATGAAATCAAGGAAATAATTAAAAGGACGAAAAATCGCAAAGCACCAGACTATGATAACATTCGAACGTCGCCATTAAGAATATGCCGATCAACACCATTACACGACTTACGAGCATCTTAAATGCCTGTATGGAAAATAATTATTTCCCCAGAAACTGGAAAAAGGCCAAAGTCATCTTGCTGCCGAAACCAGGCAAAGCTGTTACAAACCCAGATGGCTACAGGCCAATAAGCCTCCTGTCAGGATTGGGAAAAATT